GAACGGTTCTTCTGTTCCGGGGTAACTCCGAGACGCCAACAGCTCTGGTATGCGCTCACGGAACAGTTTCCCGTCTTCACCGAAAGGTGGAGAGCATTCAAAGATGGAGAGTATTATTCTCAGGGCGTGGCTTTTTTGAGCGGCCGACCCTGATTTCGCATCAATCTACCCATGACCAGGATCCCAAGTCTAAGAATATCCCGCGCGGTACCGAGTAGATCTTGTCTCAAACCATCGGAATGTTTATCCGTGTGAATGGAGGGTGTCGGTTTACAAAGAACATATATCCCAACGATCAAAGTAATTAGCTTGAGATGTATACCTTCGATAACATCACTCAAAGTAACCACATGAAGCGTTAGCCGTTGACGAAGATGTGCAGTTTCGAGATTTTAACGGCATGATGGCATATTTACCGGCTCTGCAGACTCTCATGGTTAGAGCCACTTTGTGTATGAGGTGATAATCTGCGCTCTAGGCTCAATATTCAACCAACGGCTAGATTAGTCGCGACATTTGTTTTTATGGAGAATTCATATAACACAACAAATATTATTTCAGGGATATGAACCCAGGAAGGGTCATCCAGCTTGCAAAGTTGATCATCAGGTAATACTTTATCTATCTAGATCTGACCACAACATTCCTACCTCTTCAAAGTGTGGTCGCTCTATTTACGATCAATAATATGTTCTCTGGTCAAAAAAAAAACTCCAGGAATTTAGCCTTTATCGTGTTGCCACCGGCAGACGTGCAGTCACACACTATATGCAACATGATATCGTATTGCCGTGTCTCGAACCCGGGTCAGACAGGGCATGCTATTACGCTTCGGCAAGTTGATTTTTTTGAACCTCCATTAAATGGCAAGTGTGTAGATAAGCTTTTCAGCAGGGGCAACACTACCACCTGGGGCATCCCGGAGAGGGTTTTTACAAGTACCGCTGTCGTTGATGATCAGATCAAGTACATGAGATAGCTGCCGGCATGTTCTTGCGGGGGGTTGTGGACAATTTATGAGTTTCCTGAAAACAAGCCCCTCTCCTCCCGAAAAAAAAAAAAAAAAAAAAAAAAAAAAAAACTTGGGACGCAGTTTCAAACTTGAGCTACAGTCCGGTAAATAGCATGTATCCAATGCTTTGCTCATGTAGAGAAGTAATAGCTGAGTCACCGAGCATCCCACTAAACGTCTGCCGAGCTAACAGAAAACAAAAGAATATCTGATTATCATCGTGAACTCTGGCTTATACATAATGTAGCCATACAGCTGACACTATGAGCTACCAAGTAATGGGCTGAGAGCGAGGGGGGACCCGAAGCTGCAAAAAAGGATAACTTTGAAAGAAAAAATAGTACCAAAAAAAAAAAGAAAAAAGACCAAAAACATACAACACCAGGGATTCCCCAGTGGTCACCCACCTGGGTACTAGTCCGGCGACCAGTAGGTTATCTAAGGGAGAGCGGACGGGATCCCGAGTTTTCTACTGTCTATGGTCGTATGTGCCTGTTGATGAGCTTACTGAAGCCTAAAGCCGTCGTGTGGGAAGGGCTGAGATTGAGGTAACAAAATGGATGCCGCGGCGGATCCTTTAACCCAAGTCATATAATTCTCAGAATAAGAACTTGTTCACGAGACGGGATTAGGGACTATTGACAATTCTTTTGGTAACTTGTTGAATGGTGGGCAACGTCCATGGTTTCCAAGTGTAAGTAACAGTGTTCTGCTGTTGTGGATGAACGCAAGGTTTCTCGAAATTTCACCCTCCTAAAACAATGTTGACAGGCTCACACCAAATCCGTTGGAGTATGCTCCATACGAGTTTATTCTGATATTTTTGCTTATAGGTAGCCCATTGTGGTGCCATTTCCTCCCAGGGAATCTAGACGTCACTGAATTTGTCCAGTAAGTCGTATACCTAAAAAAAACTGGCCCGTTTGGCACCAAACAGCAGGGGGTTGAGCAAAGCTGCTTGAGTGAGCCCCACCAAAGCAGCAGAAATTGTCCAATCAGAAGCGCCACAGCATTTTCCACACAGCGCCAAATGCCGTTTCGTTTGACATCGCAGCAAACGGATCGATTTTATTTTCGCTCTCCGAGAGGAAGACAACCGCCCTCACCTGGCAGCCCCGAGCGTCGCCTCCGATCGAGGGTCTGTACACTCAGCCCTCAACAAGAAAAACTAAACATGAACCGACAGGTTCTCCAGGCCGCCCTCGGGCGTGCCTCAGCCTCGACGAACGAGTGCGTGCATTCCCCCACCAGCTGGGGAACCATCAGCCGACCGTTCTCGACTTCGGTCTCGAACTACTTCCAAGATAGCAGAAACTACAACGAAGGCGACAAGCCCCCTAGCCGACCTGATGGCGGCCGTCAGCAGCGCTCCCAGTTTGCCGCTCAGAGACTCGCAAACCTCGCCTCGAGACCCCGCTCCGCGCCAGGAAGTATCCCGAGACCAGCATCTGGCGCCGGCGCCCAGCCTTTCCTCAGACGCCCCGGGGAGCCCCTAAAATCCGGCGAGCGGGAGCCGCTTGGAGGTCCCAAGATACTCAGCCTTCGCAGTTTGCGCGGCAGCTTCGGTGGACATGCCCGTGGAGGTGTACAAAGAGGGCCGCTCGATGGGCCGCGGGGCGGTTCGGGGTTAGGCATTGCCAGTCGCCCAGCGTTTGCCGGTGCCGGAGGGCGCATTGCGGGCGGGTTTCGCGGTCGCGGCCGTGGTGGCGGTAGCGGTAGCGGTCGTCGGGGTGCTGGCCGTGGAGGTGGTCGCGGCGGTGCTCGTGCCGAAAGGGCAAAGAAGAAGAAGAAGGACGACTTTGCCGATGTCGACGGCAAATTGAAATGGAACGAGGAGGAACAGGCCGTTTTCGACCGCATTGAGCAGGGCGAGGTAGTGCCGTTTGTCCCAAAGCTCACCCCCGACAACCTGAGCGGGTACGGCCCCGCGCTGGCGACGGATGCGCAGGTCGGCAAGGTCGAGACGGTATTGCGGACGATGCGCATGATCAGCGGTGGACAGGCTTTCAACTCGGACTCTGGAGTGACAGTGGACGCCAAGGCGATGCGGAGGCGCTACCACCATGAGAAGAAGCCAGTTTTCTTCAACTCCAAGGCCGAGAAGGAGTGGGCGGAGCGTGCTGAACCTAACTGGAGCGTCAGGGCGCCGTCTGAGGAAACCAAGAAGGCGCTTCTGGATCTTTCTGTTCTCGGGCTTTACCAGGATACTAAGCCTGCGGGCATTACTGATGTTAAGGGCATGATGGTAAACTATCACGGGCGGACGTGGTCATACAGGACAGAGGACTCCAAAAAATTTGTGGACAAGGTTCTATCAATCTTGCCCGCCGAGGCCAAACCTGCTGCTGCACCTCAGGCGAAGAAGACTGCTTGAAGATAGTGAATGGAGGTAGAAAAAGAATACTGAAGGAATTATCTCGCACACCGAATCGGGGGAAGGGGGGGGGGGGTGGCGGTGTTGATGGGCTGAAGCCTGTACATTATTATTTGTAAAAAAGAATATCAATATACCGCACTCAGTCCCATTTTTTTTTGGATTTCTTGATATTTTCTGCTATCGTACAGTGGTATATATATGCACAAATGCATATCCCATTTCGTGCTCGTTCCTAGGTCTGGCCATAGTCCCAATAGAATCTAGGCATCGTTTCCCTTTTTTTTTCTTTTTCTTTGCTTGAATTTTTTTTTTTTACGCTCATGCTCAGCTAGCCTTGGCCATAATCTGCGTGACGGCCTCTTTCTCCTTGGCGGCAATGACCTTCATCTTGTCGTCCTGAAGCTTCTTCATCTTCTCCTTGAGCTTGAACAAGTCGTCATCGACGATCAGCTTATCCGCCTTCCACCTCTTGTGCAGGGTCTCGCGCTTGTGGGCCTCGTCCCTCAGCTTGTTGCGCCAGTTCTGGCAGATCTCCTTGGCGTGCTTGGCCAGCGTGTCTGCGCGCTCCAGCTCGACCGTCATGATCAGCTCGAGCGGGTTGTCCTCGCTCCGCTGCGGCTGCTGGTTGAAGTGCTCGCTGCGCTGCACGGCGGCCTGGATGTGCTTGACGCTGTCCTCCTCAAAGGCGAGGATGCTCCAGCGCCTGCCGCCCAGGGGCGCGACGGTGGCGAGCTCGCGGAGAGGGAACGAGGTGCGCGAGTTCTTGTCGAGCGTGACGGGGACCGCGCCGATCACGTCGGCGTTGAACCGGCCCCCGGCGCGGAGCTTCCGCAGCTCCTCAGCGTAGCGCTTTTCGGCCTTGTCGAAGGCGTAGGTGAGGTCGGCAAACTCAAAAGGGGTCTCCGGGGAAGGGACCGGCTGGTTGGGGTCGGCAGCATGCGACGATGAAGCGGCCGACGAAGAGGAAGGGCCCTTGTTGTTGTTGTTGTTGTTATCTTTGGCCCCTTTCTTGCCCCTCTTGCCTGCCGGCTCCGCTTCGGCGTCTTCTTCGCCTACCTCGTCGGAGCGGTGCCGACGCCCTTGCTTGCCCCGCTTGCTCTCATCTCCCTCGACTTGACCTCGTTTCTTTTGGCATACTGACGAGTGAGAGAAGGGTCTACCTATGAGGAATGCCACTGGCGATGAGCTAGGCGCAGACTGGCGGGAAGAGAGTGGTGACAATGTAGCTGTTGAGAGCTTCGAAGCTAAGAGCAACGAGCTTCTTCTGCACACAGCAAGGGAAAAACGCAACTTGAGGTGATTAGCACCTGGGACTGGATGAAGCTGCGAGCCATTGGGTCAAAATAATACCTTGAGACTGCCCTTAAAGGGGCGATCTTGCTGCGGATGAGCAAATTAGTGGCTTGTGAGTACTTCATGGTGGGCAAAAGCTCAAAGGCTTTATGTTCCCTCTGTGATCTTGATGAAGCATTTCTCTTGGGGGGGGGGGAGCAAGCCCCGTCCCTTGCATAAATCCAAACCAATCACAGCAGATGCTGCTTGGCGGGGTCACCTCGTTGAGAGCCCACATTCCAAACATAAGTCCACTGCAAATCTGAAAAAGACATTAAAGGTTGCGTGGCCCAGTGGTTAAGGCATCTGCTTTACAGAACATTAAACAGTTCACAATCGCAGAGGATCGCAGGTTCGATCCCTGCCGCGATCATTTTTCTCATTTTGTTTGTTTTGAAAACCTACATGTCACTCATAAAACATCCAAAATGTACACTTTGCTCCCCTTTTTTACTTTTATTTTTTTAACCTCATGGAATTTGTCGTGGTGACCATCGTTCCCCGTGATAGGCTAAAAATGTTTTGCTTTTGAAGGACAAAGGTGCATCAATATGTTTACAATCCACACCACCCCCCCCACTTCCCCTGACCATCAGGCTCAAGGAGATTCTCAGGCATACCCCTATGGCAGAGAACAGAAAACGGCTGATAAAACATGGACATCATAGCCAATAGCGCCCACAAAGCTCATGATGACAGCCCACCATACACCCTCCCTCGAGACCGCAATCGGGGATGTTAGTAGGGTAGTCGCCATCGAGACCAGCAACGACTCGGATCCCCCCAAGCCTCCTCAAAAATTGAGAGCATCGCGCTCTGGCAACCACTTGAGCAGGCTCCTACTCAAGTAGTACATACATACATACATACCTAACGTCAGATTGTTAATACGTGGCCGTTTGAAAGCCCAAATCAAAATGCACAAACTCTTGGGCCGAGAAAAAAAAAGAATTGATCCTGATTCGGAGATATTAAGAGAGGCAAATATGATTCCGTATCTTTGACAAACATATATTAACCACCCCTTTTTGAAATCGAAATCCCAAGTCACATGACACTGTTGCTTAATTTTCCAACCTTCTTTAATAAGCATGCTCAACATCGTCGTCCTCGAGACTCTCCCTAACCTAGTCTCATCTATCCATTACACTCGCTTCCCTGGCCCATGAAAAATCCCACCATCTTCTACTTCTTCCTTTTCGATGGTCTGGGAAGCCATAACAGAAAATATCATAAACATATAGCTGACAGAGAACTTTGCGGCTACTCTCTTCCATTCCCCAAAGACCTAAGTGTGGTAAGATTGCCCATTTTGAAATAAGTAAAATTGAGCAGTGCCAACAACAGCAGGGGAAGACAGAGAAAGAGGGACACGGTTTTTGAGCGAGCAGCACCCAGAAAAAGTAAAGGTTTGAAGAGAAATAAGCGTATGAGGCAGATGACAGAACACAAAAAAGGCACGAGAAAGAACGTGAAGCTAATTCCACAATAAGTGTAAGGAGAAACCCGAGGAGCGTACCCGTCGAATAGAAAACGCCATCGCCATCGCCATCGCCATTCCTGCGCCACGCCACGCCGCGCCAGTAAACCAAAGAAAAAGGAGGAAAAAGAGAAGGGAAAAAAATAGAATAAAAAAAAAAAAAAAAAAAGAAAGGAATCAAAATAAAAGTTGCTCGACATTTCAAACTGTTTCGTCCTCAAGGATTCGCTTTTGTTTTCCCTCTCTGTGTTCTTTACCCCACAACAACAACCCCCCCTTTCTTCAGAACAGTCATCCTTTTATGATCGCTACTCTTGTTCTCCCACCATCTTCCCTGGCAAGAAAATCCGCACGAGACAGAGGGATAGATCATTGCAGTTCTTGGGCCCAAAAGGCATGTTAATATCAATAGGTAAATATGTTGTGTGGCCCAACTTTTTCCAGTTCTTGGTTGATGATGCCGTGGATCGGCAGGTTGCATCGGTACCCTCTCATACGCTTGCCAACCAAGCCCTAGACCCTTCACGCGGCCCGTCAAATCCCCGAATAATCCAATGAAATCTGTGGTTAAGCCAAACATCATCGACACCTCAAAAGAGGTAGGTATCTTTTCAGGCAACCCAATCGCATTGCCACTTCTCGTTCCATGGAGCCAAGTGATGGTTGGTTGTAATTGTACAGCTGATCCTAGTCCTGAAAATTAAAATCGTCATCGTGCTGTGATATCGTCCGAAACCAGTTTCGAATGCACTCTACCTTGTGGTACTGGTTTTAAGGGTGTTTCCGGTTGCTTTGTTGGTATTGCTCGCGACTTTCCGAGGGGGGTCGCGCGGATAACCTGCCAAAGCAAGGCCCGAGCCAACACCTAATTGACCTTATTCCCACAAAGCAGACATGTGACTGGCTCCGTCCAAACTTTTATACCACCAACAATACCTTCCCGAATGTCCTTCACCTCAATCGTAGGAGGACCATTCACTTCTGTCAATAATGCTGCTTCGAATAGCCCCAGCCAAGGTCGCAACGGCTCCGCGTTTGCGTCGCCCTTCTTCTTGGGTCTGGCGGACCCCTTCTTCGAGGCCGCCGTTTTGCCTACCGATTTGCCATTGGTTGATATGGCTGGGTCAGCCTTCTCGCTAGTAGACCGGCGCGGTCTACCTGATGCTGTCTGAGAAGCGCTATCCTCGGGCGCGGCGTGGGCGTCGTCGTCATCGGCCTGCTTGACATCAACATTGTCGCTTCCGTTGATTGCTGATTCGCCCGACTTCACATCAATCGAGTGTTGCGCCGAAACAGCCGTCCCAGGCTCCGTTGGGCTAAGCGGGCGTTTGCCCTCGGCGTCGTCTTCTCCCTTCTTGGTTTCAGTCGACTCGGGAGGCAGATGCGGCTTGTCTGTGCCCAGCCGGCTGTATGTCTTTTTGAGAATATCATCAAGGACGCACTGTTCGTGCATCCACTTCTTGCAAGCCTCGTCGGTACATCCGAGCAGTTTCTTGTCTGGATTCGCCGGTGTGTTGCAGACGCAAACCATATCGACAGTCTATAAACAGATAGTTAGGTTGGCGACCTTCCATCACAAGCGGTAGGGATTTTTGCGACGTGGTCTTACCGAAAGCTCGTACGTTCTGACATCAAACGCCTGCCGCCAATACAGGGCATTCTGTATCTCCTCGTCATTCTCCTCGTACCACTGCTTTACAGTCGCCTGTGAGGTCACGCTGACCACGTTGATGATATCCACTGGACCGAATTAGCTACACTATGGCACGGGGCGGGGTGGGAGGTTTCGACTAAGGCTTACTATGATTTGAGGCAATCAACTCATTCATCCCGTGGTATGGTTGCCTGTTTTGGATTGTTCGTCTGCCATCATGGGTGCCTTGTGGAAGCTCGTCGGGCCAGTACATCCAGTAAATCCGGGCGTAGACGTGGTGTTCATCACTTGCACGAATCTCAAGAATACGGGCAACCCAATCGTCGTCCGACTTCTTCCTCGGTTGCATAGGCTCACTGCTGCTTACTGCTTTTTGCCGCTCGATGCTCGAGTCGTTGGCAACGTAAATAAAACCTTCGCTGAAGTACTTGACGCCGTTAACTTTGAAGAAGAAACATGATTAGCCCCCACTTGACCAGAAACGCAACTCCAGGGCTGACTGGCCGAGCACTTACGAACAAAACTGTTGTACCTCGTCATCTCGGTCCACTTCTTGGCTGGCTCAACTTTGTAGTATATGTCCATTGTCTCGTGCGTCTTGAACTTGCCACACGGCGCAAATGGCGACATCTGAAGGTTGACCTTGTTGGAGAGATCATCTTCAGGTTCACCATTCTCGGTGCGCCGGCGCTTCTTCTTTTTCTTATCCCTATCTTCAGGGTCGACAATCTTGATGGAGAATGGGCATTCTGCCCGATTGTCCTCGTTCTCGACCCGCTGTCTCTTGCGGTTGGAAGACGACATTGTTTCCAACGGGACTGGGATTTGGCGAATCGCGCCGCGAATGATGGGGAGAGAAACGTGGACACGGCGATGCGTGGAATGAGATCACCAACGGACGAACGAAAGGTTTGCGGATCGCGGTGTTTTTTTTTGTTTTTTTTTTCTTGTCTTGCGCAAAGCTGCGTTCGTCCAAGATGGTTCGATGGACAGTGAGCCCAAGCCACCTCGGCGCGTAGGCAAATTTCTTGAGCAACGTGGAATCAAAGGGCGATCGATGACTCGGTGGTATTTCGATGGCCTGCAGCAACCTGCTGAGGTGTTTGGTGGCAGATAGTGCGGTGGCTGGGGATGGATGAGGGATGTGTATGATGGAAGGCACCGGAGCGGGAAGTGGGAGGTGGAAAACAGCTTGCTTGGAGGAGGTAGTGGGCAAGGGAAGGACAGCTGCGATTGCTACTGCCGTGGTCTACGGCGGCCGGCGTGCTAGCTGTCGTTGCCAATCGCGGAAAACAAGGTCGCGGCGTGCCAATGAATCCCCCCAGGCGATATCGGCCCAGTTGAGCGATGCTCAGGCGTCAATGGGTGATGGTGGTTCTGCTTGGGTCTTGTCGCAACGAAGTTGACACCGAACAAAATTTCCCGGTCGGACAGTGGACTGGAAATCGCGTTCCGCCACTAGAGGCTTGGAGCTAGAAAAAAAAACACCGGGACGGTCCCAGCCACGTGATTTTGCTGCTTTTTGGCCCAAAGACAATGCCAGAGGTGAGGAGAAATGCTGTGGCTGGGGCATGCTCGGCATGGTAACCAGTGTGCTCTGCCAAGCGGACAGGGTTTGCCGTTTAGGTATGGACGACGGGAGCTTGCTTCCCCTCTCGGTCCCCCGCTCTCCTTCTGACTGTTGTGTCAGGCCACTGACGAGGGGCCACCTTAGCACGGTACTGGGTACTCATGGGCCAACTCCCGATTCGGGGTTTTTCTTCTGATGCGTGCATGCTATTTGTCGGTTGCGCCATCCAACCAGAATGCAGAAATGGGCACGCAAACATTCAGCAAGCCTCTCCTTGCGCCTTGTTTCACCCAACTCATGGAATAATAAGCTCATCAGTCAGTGATTGCACATACAAAGGGACCTGCATTCTGTCGGATTGTTATGAGCTTTGAATTGCCTGTCCTTCCCTTCAGCCGCAAGGGGGAGTAACGTGACGGGGTACATTCTGAGACGACACGTTGGTGGAAACACACTCTGGCCTCTATCCGTACTCCGGTAGTGATTATTCATTCCAGCGCAGGCATATTACTGTATACATTTGGTCCGAGATCCATCCAAGATGGTACCTAGCTCAAAGCGAGAAACTGAAATCAGAGTAATAAGAACCAGATCCCTGTTCCATAGAAAAATCCAAACAAAAGTGAACCACCAACACCGACGCTATGCATTCTCCAACCGTATCCCCCT